CTATTCTATTCTATTCTATTCTATTCTATTCTATTCTATTCTATTCTGTCAGTTGTGTGTAATAAACTTCCAAACAAAACTGCATCTAAATGAACAGTTTTCCATTCTTTGTCTTAGTAGGATAAGATATAATTATGTTCAATATAATTCTGTTCTAAAGTTGTTGTTTTTTCTGTTACTTCTTATGGGATGATGAGATTTGTTATATTTAAATCAATCTTAGCGTCAGAAAGATTGTTTAACCTTAATAACAGCCTTAAAAGTCATAACAGATAATAATAATCTGGTGCTTAAGATGCATAAACTCACCTTTGAGTGTAACTAAAGAGGAATCTAAGGTAAAACTGCACTTCCACAATTTCTTATATTTAGACAACAGTGAAAGATTAAGTGTGGAGGTTTCAGTTTCAAAAAGCAAAGTTTTACAAACACCAACTAAAACAAAGCGCAATTTTCAAACTCATAAGGGTTTATTATGATTATTTTTAGTCTAACCATCATTTTCACTGAAACTAGTTCGGTTTCAAAAAATACTGCAGCCGTGTTCCACTTAAAATTTCCATAAAATGAAAACAATAATAATAATAAAGTTTAAAGTGACTCAGCAGAGCTTAACTCATATTCTTAAAAGTTGTACTTCAGAAATACAAACTGAATCTGTGGAGAATAAGCAACATTTACTTTAAGAAATATATTTAAATACATCTGCTTAAAAATGCTATTTTGTTCATCATTTGAGTCTTTGGAGATTTTTTTTATTGAATATAACCTGGAAAGCGTACGTTTTTTTTTTTTTATTCAAGAAAAGCTACTTTGATGCTTCTACCTGCAGTCAAAATCAATTCAGCCAATGAAAGAGGACAGCGAGCGCATAATTCAAAGGAAGTGAAGCCTTTAAAGAGGCTTATGGCGAAACACCGCTGCTGTAAAAGATTTCACTTGTGAATGGGAAAGTAAAGAAATAAATAAAAGAAATCTGTTTCAGAGCCTCTTGGGCAGTAATGCAAAGTACAGATACTGTTGTGTTTGTGTCCGGACATTTTTTTTTTCATAAATATTTATTTGGGTGAGCTTGAACGTTTATCAGGCGGCTGCTTACAGTGTTCAATAAAAATGAGGGCTATTTTTCCCACAGCCACTGAAGTGCAGATCTCCATCTAAACAAAAGTTGGTGCGACTCCGAAAAGCTAATCTCACACGCTGCACTTAAAGTCCTGTTTGAACCTGTTGCTGCCTTTTAAACTCATGTTTTATCTGCCATCAGAGGTCTAATGGCTCCATGTGGAGCGCTCCTTTTATATACACGTTTAATAAAACTGCACAAGTTTTAAAAAAAGGTCCGGAATTAAAAGCCCTGTTAAGATGAATGTTGTAAAAAATACTGGAGGGTTAAAGACCTAACCTGAAGGGTTACCTTAAAAATCTTATTTAAAAAAAAAAAAAGACTGTTGTAGCCATTTTAATCACACCTTGAAAATAAGTTATCTTGAGTGAGACATTGCAATATATCATGCTTAGAGTACCATCGTTTCTGGACTATAAGCCGCTAATTTTTTCACACGCTTTGAACACGATGGTTTATACAGTGCTGTGGCTAATTTATGGATTATTTTTAATTACATTTTTTTTGACGGGCTAACGAGCTTCATTCCCCGAAAACATTTAGCCTCGCCACACCCGGGCGATCAAATAGCTGCCCAATACACATCTCTCTTGTAGGGTGGGTCCTCGTGACTCAATCAGACTACCTGTATAATTAAAGGCTAAATAAAATCAAATCTGACCAATGAAATTACCGAACAGGTCAATGGGAGGGGGGGAATCTTTGTTTTCCCCTCCCCCTTTCTCTCCTCCACTCCTCATTGTGCCGTCAGGAAATGGGGGAACTCCCTGGGGGCACAACAACATTTTTTGCAGCCACTCAAAATATGTAGGATTCGTAAATCAAATCAAATCACAACTTTGCTTTGAGCCTTTTCTGACGCTGAACAAATAGAGTTGCATTCGGGCCTACAAAATCCGACCTGGCCCAGCCCTAGCCCTTAGACATTTTTTCCGAGCCTGACCTGACCTGATCAATAACAGGCCCGAACCCGAAAAAAAAAAAAAAAAAAAAAAAAAACTTTTTTTTTTTTAAATTAAGCTTTTACTGCTTTTGTAAGCAAATCAGTTTGACATGACTCACACACTCACTGACCTGAGACACGCATGCTTATTTTGCTCTAATCTGATGCAAACAGAGGATAAATAGTTTGACAGAACATCAGCTGCTGGAAAAGCTCACCGCAGGGTCAGAGTCATTAGCCATCACCGTGGTTATGATGGTTCCCTTGACAACGTTTGGAGCAACCATGCCTTTGTACACAGACTGGCTGAACACTGGAGCAAAGTCGTTCATGTCCTGAAAACATTCAATAAACGATATCAGCATAGAAATGATTCAGATTCTGAAACTTCATACATTGTACATAAATAAAAAGTATAATTAACGTTGTCTAAATATGTTAGCTCTGTCCACAAACTACCATAGCCTTATAAATTTGGGACATGTGATTCCCATAATGCAGCAAAATGTAAAACCTTGTAAATAACACCAGCGTCTTTAGCCCTAATGCTTCAGCTAAAATTATTTTATTTTAAAGTCTATTTTTTAACTTGGGTTTTAAAGATGTTCTGAGACTGTTCGCAGAGTAAAGGTTGTGGTTCAGACAATCTGTTTATTTATTTAAATCACAGCAGGCAGTGAGAAAGTCGGAGCGCCACAAGTTCTGGTTCTAGTTACCCTAGTGGTTGGGTTAGGTTTTAAACGTTGTACAGCACTTTGGTCAACTGGGGACAAATGTGCTTTACAAATCAACTTTAATTTGAGTCAGGCTAGTGATCAATAAGAACTTGGTTCACAGTTTTCAGACTAAGAAGAAGAAGAAAATAATCAGAGCATCTTTTATTGTCCATGTCCAGCAGAAATATCAGTCTCTGTGAAGCAGATTAAAATCAGAATATGTGCCGACGTACATGAAAACAAAGGTGTGTTTGATTGGCAGTACACCAGATACAACTGGACCTGACACACATTAGAAGGAGTTCAACAAAAGAAGTACAGTGAGGAGCTGGAGAACATAAACATCAAAGTGAGGGGTTTATTTCCACGGAGGCCATGTTTCTTTTACTACAAACGCTGCTCCAATGTCACCAACATCCGTTTACAGTCCAACACTGTCGTCTGAGATGAACAAATGATAAATGTGTGTATTAGTGCATCCTATGGTGATCAGAGTGTGTTATCCTTCAGTTTTCCCATGTGGTGGTGAAGGCCTGAATGATAGGAATGTGTGTATTTGTGTGAATGCTGAGTCAGCATTGACTCCATTGTTTTCCTATTATTTGGACTAACTACTTCAGCATACCTCCAACCTTTTCAGCCATTCAGGGATCAAAAATTCAACTTGTTCGGGACCTTGTGTCTATGAATTGCTAATGTAACTTTTTTTTATTGATTAATTTTACTTACATTTTTTTTCCTTATAAAATACACTGACTTCTCTTTAAACCTTTGTAAAACTGTGCTCTTTGAAAGCTAATTCAGTGCATCATTTTTATCCTTCAGCTGGTTTTAGCATTTAGCAACAATTCAACTGGTTGTGGCCAGGGCTTAATTTGTAAACCAATCGATGCCGAAACGCAAATAGTGGGTGGCCCCTGAAGGGGTGGGGTATCTGGGTGTCCTCTGCTAGAAAATTTTGAATGAAGTAGATGTGATTTCCTGCATTTTTGGTATATTTTAACAGGTTCCAACATTTTTCAGTCAGGTCATCTGGACAGTTTCTTTTTTTGTGCTGAAACGTTTTGCCTTCGGTCTGGAAGGCTTCATTAGTCAAGGAAACACACAACAAAACTAATTCTTCCCCCAACAGCTTACTCCAAAGTGGACCTGACTGAAAAATGTTGGATTGTATACCTGGATTATTGAGCATGGACTTTGTTGTTTTCAACCAGTTTGACAAAACTGTCAACAAGGAAGAGGGCCGGCAATGGAGGAGGGGGCGTACCAAAGAGACCATCTTATCACAAGCAGAATTGGTTTGTTCCACTTTGGAGTAAGCTGTTGGGGGAGGAATCAGTTTTGTTGTGTGTTTCCTTGACTGATGAAGCCTTCTGGACCGAAGGCGAAACGTTTCAGCACAAAACAAAAAAGAAACTGTCCAGATGACCTGACTGAAAAATGTTGGATTGTATACCTGTT